CTGTCCGAAACCACGTAGGGAGGAGGAGGAGGAGGAGGAGGAGGAGGAGGAGGAGGAGGGAGGAGGAGGAGGAGGAGGAGGAGGAGGAGGAGGAGGAGGGGGAGGACGAGGAGGAGGAGGAGGAGGGGGAGGACGAGGAGGAGAAGGAGGAGAGGGGGGGAGGAGGAGGAGGAGGAGGAGGAGGAGGAGGAGGAGGAGGAGAAGGAGGAGGAGGAGGAGGAGGACGAGGAGGAGGAGAAGGCAAAAACATTCGAAGGCGGGGCCTCTGGAGACGTCTGGAAACATCCGGGACTTCCGCAAACCACGCAGGTAGGAAACATGCCCACACCCACGGCCCAGCGGTCCAGACCCCTCGGCCACGAGCGCATGGGCACAGGGCGGCGTGCCGCGGACGCCCCGCGCAGGACGCATCCACAAAATCGCGCGCGCACGGGGTTGCGCCTCGGCATCCGGACCAGGAGGGCGTTGAGGATATAATACGCCCATCGCTCGTGAGAGGAGAAGCAAGAGGAATCGGATCGGATCGGGGCTCGACGACAAGGTCTCAGACATGAACCAACGCTGCGGGAGGGGGGAGGAAGAGGCGGAGGAGAAAGGAAAGGGAGGAGTGGAAAAGAGGAGAAGAGGGGGGAGAAGGAGGAGGAGGCGGACCAGTGTAGACCCAAGATTCGTCAACGACGTTGCAATAAACCTGAAGTAGGATTATAGTGTGACTGGCGTCGGTCACTCTTGGACTTTGGAATCGACGGGCGCCTGAGACAATTTTCACTGGGGCCCGCCGCCTGTGACGTTCCTAAACAAATCTTTCGGGGAGGCAGCCGGGCCGCCAGAAGAAGCGTTGTCGCGAAGCGTCGGGCAAAGCGGGAGAGGAAGAAACGGGGCAAAACCGCGAGCGCAGCTGCATCAAACCAGCGCGATGCGCCAGAGCACGCTACATCAAACCCATGCGACTATCAGGGCACCCTACACCAAACCAAGGTTCTCTCCTCCACCTGCGATGCATCCACCGTCTGAGTTTCCATTGCAACGAGCAACGCCCATGCCCTCCTGGCGACCGCGCGCGGCGGGGTTGCCCGCGGGAGACGGGAGGCCCAACGCGGAGCCTGTGTTCTGCCGAAGGGGGGGCCACAGAGATTTCCCACTGTACGCGTCGCGCGGCGCCTTGGCCCCTTGCAGTATCTGTTTTGTCCGAAACACTTTGAACAAAAAGATCTGGCGTCGCCCGTCTCCGCTTGGCTTTCGCGGGGCCATTGCGGTCAGGTCCGTCCAGGGTAATTCCTTTGCTGGCGCGCGAAATCTCAACGTACCTCTGCATCTTCTCGGCTCTGGTCAGACCACTCGCGCAAGGGTCTCACGGCGTTGCAGGGCCGGCCCAGCCTCTGGCGCGACCAGCGCAGCGGAACACGTGAATTCCAGCCAGAGAGACCGCGGCACTCAGCGGCCGCGCGAACAACGCGCGCGCTCGGGGCAACAGCGAGCTAGAAGCGGCTTCGGCTGACATGCGAGATCGGTATCACAATCTCTGGAGGAGCTGGGCGAACGACACCATGACGTTCATCTGGCGCCCTGAGCAGTTGGGCGCCGTCGGCGCAAAACGCAACGCCTAGAACCATCCAGTTCTGAGCTAGCGGCGCCGGCACAACGCCCACGAGATACCTGATCATGGAATACCAATGCCGAGCGGGAGTAGGTATAAGTTCGTGATTCCTAAAAACCTTCCCTCCAAGCTCCATTCTCATTGATCCATGCAAAGATTTACCTTGACTGCGGGAAGCGGCCCGTTGGAAAATAACAGTCTGAAAATCTTCAACCATGCCAAAGCACCACACCTGGGACTTCAACGACGCAAATCAACATTACTGCTGCGTCCTTAGAGGCCTCCTAGATGGGGTCGGAGTTGATGGGGTCGGAGGATCGCGCCGCATCGCCGATGCATCGGCGATGTATCGGCGATGCACTGGCGACGTCGACGCGAGGCAAATCGGGCCCTACATCGAAACGCATCGGCGATGCATCGGCGATGCGGCGCGATCCTCCGACCCCATCTACTCGGACCCCATCTAGGAGGCGTAGAGTCCTGACGGTCCAGAACCGTGCCAGAACACCATTCCAGGGATTTCCAAATTGTTGCGTCCTGACATCCCGATATCGTGCCAAAATACATTTACTGGGACGTCAACCATAAAAATCCTCGGCGCTCCTGTCACCAGTTAAAAGAACATGCGCGCTGGGTTTCGGCGAGGGCCACATTTTGGAAAGGACCCGCCAATCAACCGCGAAACCCTCGCAAACTTTCAATCAGAAATGTCCACGGCGCCAAAAGAAGAGCCACATTGTGGAAAGGACCCACCATCCGCGAAACCCTTGTAACCTTTTCATATGCCAGAAAATGCCCACGGCGCTGAGGCGAGAATCCCATTTTAAAACGGCCCGCCCTCCGAGCACGAAATCCACGCAAACGTTTAAAACGAACGCGCGCGGCACGAATGCGGGAATCACACATTGAAAACGGCCCGCCCGCCAATCCGCGAAACTGTTGCAAAACAAATAAAACGAACGTCCGCGCCGCTGAGGCGATGGCCACACTTTGAAAACGGCCCCACTTTCATCCGCGGAGCTCTCGCAGGCGCGCGCGCGCGCGGTGCTCAAGCCAAAGCCACATTTTAAAAATGGCCCGCCCTCCATCCGCGAACCTATTGCAAACTCTAAGCTTCAGGATCATAAATGGCGAGGGCGTTTCAGGCGAAACACCCGGCCCGCCCTACCGACTTGTCTCGGGGTGCGACATGGGGTGAATGGGTCAAAAGGCCAGCAGGGCGGGGGAGACAACCCAGCCTCCGACCATGAACTTGGTCGCTAAGCCGACGATCGTGTTGGTCGCGCTTGATAAAATCCACCTAATCCTCATCTGGCCTCCGTCCTACATCAACGATTTGCCTTGGCGTTCTTCTCTGCGTGGTTCTTAACCGCCGCTCCTGATTAACTAATGAAGTCCAAATTTCCGCCCCGCGCACAACGCACGGGGACACTGTCGATTCATATAACTTCATCATGTGTGGCAATGGTACACGACGATCACACAGCACGACAATTACGTTGCCGACTTCTGCTGCGTGGTAGATCGTCCATGGACAGCTTCCGGCCCACACTGTTCTGCCAGTCCTTGTTACAACACTCGTACGTCTTGGCCACTGCACTTCGCAGCAATCGGCCGGGCTGGCGCGTTCGCCACGTCGACAGTGTTGCCCGCGTGCAGTTTGAGTCCGCACGCGCGAGCTTCTGCGCCCAGGTCTTCGATCACGCGCGAAACAACCCTGGAAGCAGTGGCCAGCAGAGGTACGTCGTCAGCAGAGCTCAAGTTTAAGAGCGGACTGTCAGGATCACCCACCACTATGCCGCAGCATTGCCGCGCGGCCCCCCCCACGGAGCCGCGCACCTTTTCAAGCCGACCGGGCTGCGGCCCAACGCATCCCAGAACTATCCTCATACCTCTGACACGCCTCCTCGCCGCGTCTTTGCGGAGCGAGGCGCGGCGCCGCCAGCGGAGCCCTCCGCTCGGCGCGGGCTCTCTGGGGACGTTGCGCGCCTTAACGCGCTGGCCCCCGCAGCCGACGTCGCCGCCGCCGACTCGACCAGCTCGTCGATCGTCGGCCCCTGGCCTCTCTGCGCCCTGGACGGCCGCGCCTCCACCCTGGCCAAAACGTTGACCAGGTTCGCCTTCAGGCCCGTCGCGCTGAGCCCGCGCGCCCGCAGCGCTGCCCTCAGCTCGTCCACCTTGCAGCGCATCAGCTCGTCTCTGACGGCGATCTGCTCGCCACTGAGTGGAACGCCGCGGAGCTCCTGATACTGACACTGCACGATCCTCGGTGCGATCTTTCGTCGCTGCCGAGGTCCCTCCTTGGTCGGCGCGGCGCCTCCCGCTGCCGATCCCTTGCCGCGCTAGCCGAGGCTGGAGGCGGTGCTTCCCGCTCTCGTCCGCCTCGAGCGTCCGCGCTTGCTCTGGCTGGAGGCGGTGCTGCCTGGTCCCGTCCGCCCCGAGCGTCGTCGTCCAGCCCGTCGCGGGTGCCCTCCGTCACCTCGCCACCCGCAGTGTCTGGCTGGCGCCCCCTCGAGCGCCTCTTGGCAAGGTAGCACACCGCTACCGCGGCTGCGATCATGCACACCAGCATGAACAGGAACAGCGGCATGACGATGCCCATCGTGATGCCGTCGCACCGGTCGCCCCCCGTGGCCGCGGTAGCCCCCGCTGCGCCACGCGCGCACTGTCGCTAAGACTATCTTCAACATCGCAACCGTGGATTCGACCACATGGCCAGCCGCGCGCCCTCTCGTCGCTAATCTCATGAGCTTCGACAAGACTTCAATCTTCCAGCCGCCCAGGTACTTCGTCCCGATGTCAGCTCGATTCACCGCCGTGTCTAAGTTGATCACCTTCAGATCCTTCGTCCGCACTCCTGTATCCACAGGTCCTGGACGCTATGGTGTCGCACTCGGCCTGACCCCACTCGGTGGGCCATTCCCTTCGCCCCCGAGCTGTCCGCACCAGCAACTCCCTGCGCGTGGATGCCGCACGGCGCGAGGATCTGCTGCAACAGGATCGCGGAGGCACCCGCCCCGTTGAGAGCAAGGAGCGCTGCCACCCCGCTTGATGTCGCTACGTAGCCCTGCGTCGACGTAGTCACCTCCAGGCAATGATCTCCGAACATCATCGCGGTGCACTGCGTGGACTTCGCGTCGTCCGCTCCTGCCCAGTCGCTGTCGCCCTCGACGTCCGCCGCGACAGGGGGGGCCCTGCAATGGGCAGTGCCACTCCGTCACTAGACACCCCACCAGGTACCGCGCAGCACGATTGAGCCTGACCTCAGCCAGTGGCGTAGGTCTCGACGCCTCCGCCATGGCCATCTTCGCTGCGTGCTGCACATGCGGCACGTTCTGGGACAGGTAGGTCAGCAACCCGCCCGCCTCGGGCGCCAACCTCTTCAGCCGCTCGTCCACGACCG